AACCGTCTCGGCCTTGAACACGCGAGCGCCGCCGCGGCCGCAGGACACCACAGTAACGCCTGCCGCCGGCATGACAGGATCCTCGCCGCTCGCGCGCCAGCGCCGACTCTTCCTCGGGCTGCTCTGCTTCACCGTAACCCTGCGCGCCTCCGCGGCCCGGCCGGAGGGCACTGCAACGCCGGCAGGCCTGGGCACAGCGGCAGAGTTGATGGAGGAGATTCGCTCCCGCATGAGCAACCAGTGGGACGCCCTGCAGCATATCCGCTACCAGGCGCTGACGAGCAAGATGACGGTGGGTCGCCTGAGCGAGCGCGTCAAGCAGCTGGTCGCCGCCATTAATGCCCAGGGTGAGTCTGCGCCGCCGCGCGCCGTCACGGCGCTTGCGGCTTTGCAAAAGCCAGGGCGTTGAGCCAAGAATCCCTTTCATGTCATCAATATTTTCACTATTTCGTTTTCATTCATTATCATTTACACAATTTATTATTTTTGAAACCATTATTATCATTGATGTTATTGCTGAGTTACTGGTGCTGTGCTTGCTGTCAGTCATTTTCAAAAGTTACTTTCACTTCTGTCACGTGTCGTTGGAAGGAAGAACTGGTATTGTTGCAGTATTTTGATTTAAAAAGTGTTTCTGATTGCTTTAGTCATGCTTTTCTTGATTTCATATGTTAATGCAAGTAGAACAATGAAGGGAAGTACAGGAAAACACACGAATATGCCTATTCGTGTGTTAGCATAATCGTGTGCTTTCCTGTACTTCCCTTCATTGTTCTACTTCCAGTTTCATATGTTAATTTATAGTATCTGATTATATACATACCTTTACCTCCTCCGTTGTTGGTGAGCACGGGGTGAGGACCAGAGATTGGAAGTGATACGAGCGCTATCGCAGCAGGGAGCCGATGCCACACAGGGCGCTGTTCCTGGTGTTGGACTAAACTCTGCGCCCAGTGTCTCGCATCTTTCAATATAGTTCGGATCTAGTTTAATACAATTCAGCTGAGGGCTCACCGTTTCCAATTCCACCCGATGCGAGTAGATAAGACAAACAATTTCCTCAGCCTCGTCCGTTGCGCAGTTGTGGCCACACCTGATTAACGAGCGCTAGAGTACGAGGACACCTGGGGTCTCAGCTTTACACAACACCAAACCGGCCGAGAGAACAGCTGACTTTAAGCTGTTACTTCTGTGGTGCAATTAGATGTGCAAAGCATCCAGCTATTATACAATCCACAAACAGCAGTGAATAGCTGGCTTATGTCAAAGAAATTGAAAATAGTGAAAAAATTGCGAAATGAAATGTAATGCGCAGTATCTTTTGCCGCACCCCCTCAGAAGTGCTTCCGTCGGCGCGCCCCTCGACGCCGGACGGGCCGTGCGACGAGGAGCCGTTCGAGGAGGACGGGATACCGGCCTTGGCGGATGCTCTGGAGGAGCTCCTCCAGGCGTACACCAACTACATCAATACGAGTGTGGAAGAAGAGGACCCACGAAGCTTCCAGGAAGATTTAGCGAAGATCAAGGACGTGCTGGTTAAGCTGAGAGCTCTGGTCGGCCAAGCATCGACCAGGACATCCCGCGGCATAGGTTTGTTAAAGTAGTTTTGTCTGCCAGAACGAGGTGTGTGTGTGTGGCGAGAGCAACGTAGGGTTGGAGACCACAGAAATAACACAGGCTTTTAACAACAGATACCGACAGAAAACACAGATTACCAAAGTAAACTGAACCTAAAACATCCAAATTATGAAAAGATCGTGACTTTCCCGACTCCTACAGAAACAACCCCTGCGGAGGGCGAGCCAGAGGCGCGGCGTCGGGAGGTGCGAGCGGGCGCCACGGCCGTGCTCCCGTGCCCCGTCGGCGCCGCAGGACAGTCGGTGGGTGTCGTGCTCGGGCCTCAAACTGCTTGTGGTTCTCCCAGTCCTAGCTGACGGTTTCATTTTGCGGTCATATTTGTCGAAATATATATAACAAATAAGTAAATATTTTTCTGTCTCGCCATCTATATCTCCCTCCTCCCTTACCATTCCTCTCTCCCTTCTTCCTTCTTTCCTTTCTTCTTTTTTTCCTTCCTTCCTTCATTCACTCATTCCTTTCCTCTCTTCCTCCCTCCCTTTCTCCTTTTCATTCCTCTCTCTGTCGCTTCTTTCCCTTTCTTACTTTCTCCCTCTATTCTTTCCCTCCCTCCTCTCTCCCTCCCTTTCTTTCCCTTCCTCCCTACTTCTCTGTCTCCTTCCTCCCCTCTCCTCTTCTCTCCCTCCCTTCTTCCTTCCTTGTCCCACTTCTCCCCTCTCTCCCTCACGCTCTTCCGCCCATCCTACTTACCGTTGCTTTCTTAATCCCTCTCTCTTCCTCTCTGTGCCCCCGTCCTCCCTCTCCCTCCCTCCCTCCTTTTCTCCCTCTCCCCTTCCTCCGTCCGTCCCTCCTTCTCTCCCTCTCTCACTCTTTCTCTCTTTCCCTCTCTCTCTTTCCCTCTCTCTCTTTCCCTCTCTCTCTTTCCCTCTCTCTCTTTCCCTCTCTCTCTTCCCTCTCTCTCTCTCTCTCTCTCTCTCTCTCTCTCTCTCTCTCTCTCTCTCTCTCTCTCTCTCTCTCTCTCTCTCTCTCTCTCTCTCTCTCTTTCTCTCTCTCTCTCCCTCCCTCTCTCCCTCTCCCTCTCCCTCTCCCTCTCCCTTCTTCTTTCTATCCCTCTATCCCACTCTCCTTTTTTCCTTTCTTCTCTCCCTCCCTTCTTTCGTCCCTCCCTCCCTCTCTCTCTGCCTCCTTTCTTTCTTCCTCTCCCTTCCGTACCTCTTTCCTTCCTTCCCATCCTCTTTATTTTCTTCCTCTCCTTGTCCCCTTTCTTCCCTCCCTCCCTCTCTCCTTCCCTGTTTCCTTTATCAATTCTCTCTTTCCTTCCCTCCTTCCTTGCCTTTCCTTCTTCTTTCCCTTTCTCCCTATCCCAATCTCTCTCTCTCTCTCTCTCTCTCTCTCTCTCTCTCTCTCTCTCTCTCTCTCTCTCTCTCTATATATATATATATATATATATATATATATATATATATATATATATATATATATTCCTTCCTTCTTTTCTCCTTCCCTCCCCATCCCCTCTCCTCTCTTTCCTCTCTCTTTCTGCCCCCACCCCTTTCCGCCTCCGTCGCTGTCACGTGCCCGTCGCAGGTCACGTGGGTCCACTCGCTCGCAAACCGGCTCGTGGCCCTGAACGGCAAGGTAGTGGTGGCAGACGCGCGCTTCGGGCTGGCCGAAGTGAACGGCTCGCCTGCCCTCGAGATTTTAGACGTTCAGAAGAAGGACGAAGGCCTCTATAAGTGCTTCTCGAATGGGACGGTTTCCTATGAACTCTTTATTGTTGGTAAGTATTTTTTATTCTGTCAGTAGAGAGGTAGACACATAGGCTGACATAACGCAGGCAGACAGACAATCAGGGAGGCAGAAGAGCAGACAGACGAACCGATATAAGGTATGGCACAGAGAGGAACAAAAGACAAAGTGGATATGTGTGATTTTTCCAGGAATGAGGAATACTCTGCCGTTTACGTGCGCTTCGATTAGCTATTACAATGTGCTGTGTATATTATAGTCCAGCGCATGCCCGCCTCCCAGCCTCCATTTCTAGACTTCACTAATGTAGAAAACATTAAGAACATTGCCCAAACTTTGTTCCGCCCCCAGAACCCATGCTGGAAGTGGGCGTTCCCGCCACGGCTGCCCGCTTCACGAACCAGACCCTCACCTGCGCCTACCGCGGAGGCGAGGGCGTCGCACGGCTCGAGTGGCTGTTCAACGGTGCTCCCTTCTTCCAGTAAGTGGCTGAGTCCCATTCTCGCCTTTCCTGTTTGCTCGTAACAGCCTCGTTATCAGATCAAAATGTTCTTTCCGATACCTCATTAAGAAGAATGAGGAAAATCTATTTTCCAAAATCCGTTTCCCAGAAATGAGTCTGTCGCTCTCGTCTTCTCTTTACAGTTATAATCCTTTCCGAAATGCACAAGTGGGCACCGAGTTCAACGCTGACATTGAAGTAATCGTAAGTAGAACCAAATGTAATCAATCGTCTCTGACAACCGAATATTTTTTTTGTTGTTGTTGCATTTACCTTCGAAGTCCTCTAGTGTCTTCCCACTCACTGGCTGCATTGAGTTCCAACCAGGCTTCTGAACCATCAAGTAAGTACCTTTATCTGCGTGGAAGCTCCCCTGCACCGAAACCTGTATGAATGTGTGCGTGTGTATATATATATGTGTGTGTGTGTGTATGTGTGTGCGTGCGTGTGTAAGTGCGTGTGTGTGTACACACACGCACACACACACGCACGCACACACATACACACACACGAACGCACACACACACATACACACACACACACATACACAAACATACACACACACACATTCACACACACACATACACACACACACACACACACACACACACATATATATACACACGCACACATACACACACACACATACACACACACACACACACACACACACACACACACACACACACACACACACACACACACACACACACACACACACACACACACACACATATATGTATATATGTAACAACCCTCCCTGACCAGGTATGAACCGGAGGACCAGTACTAAACCAACCATGCCACCTGTACCACCTGTCAATTGTGACCTATGATCCGGCGAAGAGACTTGTTACAAAAGACATCAAGACGAGACTCCAAGGCATTCGATAACGTCCAGGTTTCGCTTCCATACTGCAGAACTGGCAGTATCAAGGCCTTGAAGGCACGTAGCTTGGTCCTTCTGTATAAGTACCGACATCTCCAAATACTCATAGCTCCTTATGCTAGACCAATCCGTCTACTGACTTCTTGGTCTGGCAGCCCAGAGACATGGACTAAGCTACCAAGTATGTAAGACTCTCTGTGTCTTCAACGTCCTCATCACAAGCATGTATCAACAGAACGGGATCCCCTAACAGGTGCCCAAAATCCTGAATCTTGGTCTTGG